TGTTCAACACCAATGGAGTTTTGAGTTCCCCAAACATCTCCAGAGCGTGGGGACTGGATTTCGTAGACTCCGTTATTTTTTAAGGCTAGGGCTTGGCTGGACACGCTGATTATGGCAGCGAAGGTAGCAATGGCGTAGTTCATGTTGTGTTTTGGGTATGATGGCTCTGTAATTCGAAACATGGAAAAGAATGACGACGGTTCCTGGGGCAGAGGATTATCCAGCGGTTCGGGAAGCATTTATAGGCAGATAGAACATCGAAGTATCAAAGATCATACCGATCAGTTTTGAGTTGCTTAAGTGTGTGCAATTGTGCTACTGCTATCTCCTATACTGCCTCATCTGGTGCAGGTTCCCATTAGTTTGATGCTTCATGTAGGCACCTTTCTGGGGAAATGATCTATAAGCCAGCCTATTTTACTAACTTCCGACGCAAGGGGTCCAGTTCAAATTTGGCAGTCTGCATTTCGGATAAGTGCTTTGAAGATCATAACGTTATGAATTCAATATAAACATGTCATCACTGAAACAAAAATAGAAAACCCATATTGATGCCTGACAATCCTAAGGCAAAAATCCGAACCAGAAAGGTCTAGCCCTTCTTTTTTCTCCACGATCGACCAAGAATGCCACCGGCACTGACGCCATTAGTTCTATTTCGAGCCCAACACAAATCTTTCTTAAATGGCACTGTATACTTACCCTTAACCATTCACTACGCCCTCTTGTTCCTTTTTTTTTTACCCGTGACACCCAAACTCCCACGTGCCAGTACCATGTCTGAGCCTAGCGCCGAACTCGAATCCACACTCCGCAAGCTGTCCATAGGTGGAAAGGGCCCAGTACAAGACATTCCCCGACCAAACGTGAAAAAGTTCCAAACAGCAGCCGTGACATTAAACCACAAAGCCAATTCAAAAATACACCGCAAACCTGTTGCAGACTCTTGGGAAGACGAAGCAGACCTCTCCGCCCCGGAAAGTGAGGAAGCCCAGCCCCACGACGAAGACGCTGCCCCGGTGCTCTCGCCAACCATCAGCGCTGAGGGACCGCTAGATCCCCCGCCGACACCTATCTCCCCGCAAACTTCCAACCCGTGGATGGCGAGATCTGCTTCTCCTGCTTCGGCGAAGGGCCCCCCTACCCGTCGCCCGGAGAAGCAGACTGCTGTTGCAGAGCGGCTGATTGCCGGCGCGTTGGGGATCCGTGCCCCAAAGCGGACAGAGCAGCAACGAGCGTACGATCGCTCAGTCAAAGAGCAGGAAATCCGGAGGCGGAATCGCGAGCGTGAAGAGAAGGCTAAGGCTAAAGAGGAGGAAGAGAGAATGAAGGCTTCTATTTGGAACAATTAGGCTGATTTGGGGTGGATTTTTAGATCAAATCAGGCGATGGGCTCTCCATACATATGTACATATTTGTTGAAACGGACTTGTTCAAATACGTATTCTCTCTGCATGGATTGTCGTAGACGAAGGAACTCCTCGGAGGTGGCTCTCTGGTGTTTTGCGTAGTGCCTTGAAATTCGTTTGGTTTGGAAGAACAGACGCAGTCGATTAATCGACCCTGGGGAGATAACTGCAGGAGTCTCTGACCCTGGAGTCGATTGTCCTATAGCTGGGCGACTGGTCCTGGTGTAAACAACTTAGCACCACATAGCACCACATAATATATCTCGACGCGCCAACTTGCATCCACGCCTCACAGATACATCCAAGGCAACAAATGAGACAAGCGGTTGCAACAATTCTACTCACAGAAAAAAGTCTCTATTAGTTTGGCATAACCCCTACTTTTTTTTTCAGGCCAAGGATCACATCCGAATCCCAAAGCCAAAGATCAGACCATGTCTTCTACACTGCGCGGTCATGTTGACCTCGACGGAATTTAGTATAGCGAAAGCACCCTCAAAGTCTGCAGAGAAGACCAGGTGACCTTTGGTAATCATCATTCATAAGAGAGAAAAAAAAAGCAGTATGAACGCCGCCCCTTCGCCCATGGGCCGTCGATGAGGATCCTCTATCCACTGCTGGCCATCGGCCCTAGCGTATCCCCTCACATATGTCGCCCTAGCAGCTTCGGTTCCGTCGGGAAGTGCGATTCTAGCTGGCGGAGCTTGTCATCTAGCAACCTCCAATCTGTTCTTGATGAACCTCCAAGGTATCACCATCTGCCATATCGAGCTATTAACAGTTAGTGTGAAGTTTCTCAGACACCGATGGATGGCGAAACAAAGAGAGGAATGGCCGTACAGTCTCGGGCGAATCTTCGGGGCGAACCCGGGTGCCGTCAAACAAGAACCGGACAGTGGACATTTGCTTTCCTTGGCGTTCGCAGAACGCATCCATGAGCTTCTTTAGCTGCGTTGTGCGCTTGATTTTGAAAAAAACCTCATTGTTGTTATCGGTCACCTTAATGTTGAGGTGCTCGGTGGGAGGAGCAGCGCCTTCTTTGTCGGACATATTGGACGAGTGCTGTGGTCTGGATTCTGTTAAAGATGGCTTCTTCTTATGAAACACAGAATGAGGACGAGGCAGAAAGCTTACAACGATAGAAGCGAGTTCAGGAACCTCTTCAAGCGGGGCTTTGAGTTGTGTCTAGAGAATTCAAATATGGTTAGATCACGATCTCCACGCGTTCTTTTTTAAAAGTACATCTGAAGGAAAAGGTATTCACCTAGTAGACGAAAACTTAGAAGCGAGATAGTGAAAGTTGTGCAAATGGCGAAGTTGAGAAGAGAGAGAAGAAGAGAGATCAGCGCCGGCAGAATAGTGCACTCGCCCCACGGTCTGAAGGCGGAGAATCTATTTTGCGTTTGGCTCTTCTACCACTTTCGTCACTTCTCAGGACAACGCTTTGTACGGTCCTTTGAAAATTGCATAATGGTATGATGATCATGGCCGGGAACACGATTTCTAGATGCTAAGACCCTTGTAGGGTAATTTAAAGCAAGATCTATCGCATGACCAACCCTGTAAACCGCGTGCTGTATGTGTCCCTGCCCTAAAAGCGTCCATTTAGAGGTGCCTAGGTGGCTCTCGTAGCTCTTACTGACGGTGCAACAGTGCGCCATTCAAGGTATTTTCCAATTCATGGCATATTCACAAAAAGTCGAGCTTAACCGAAGCCAGATTGCTTGCAGAAAAACTCCTTTAATGAGACCAAGTGCCAGGCACAAATTGATGCGCTGTACGAATGTTGCAATGCCTTCTACCAAGAGCAAGGTGACCAGGCGTCTACCGCCAGCTGCCCCAAAGCAAATTTACTGCGATTAAAGATGAGGCAACGAGTCCAAGCAGCGAGGAAGCAGTGCCCTTGAGGCTGTTACAGATTTTATTTTAATTTTCAAGTGACCCATGTCGAAAATGGTTGATGTCACAATTCCCTTGCGGTCTGAGTTTCCATATGGAGGAAACCAGGCTAATTGAAGAACTGCATTTTTTATAAGACAATCGTGAGCACGCAGAGAGGCCTCATGGACCTGTACGAAAATTGAGTTTTCATACCGAGACTCTAATGAAAGCCTATAGACATTAGAGAAGAAAAGAAAAGAGAAGGAGAAGGGTCCGGGCGAAAATTCGTTGAAATAGCTTCTAAGGTTACCACTAGTCTATTTCAGGTTAGTCTGTCAACGCGAAAACCAAAAGAGACAAACACAACTTGTTCCACAGAGCTCCTCTCCAGGGCTCTCTCCTTCCTTCTAACCAAGTCTCCCTATCATGGCGCCTTTAACTCGATCGGCTGCCGGGGCATTCACACCAGTGCGTCTATGTTCTTAGCTCTCTGCTTTTTGTCATCTTCTAATCCTTTGTATAGGCTCCCCAGCTGCGACAAACTGAGGTCATCAGTATTGACGATGATTCGCAACAATCTTTCGATGACGATGAAGAATTGGAGGACGAGGAACTGAATTCAGAAGATCAGTCGGAAGATCAATCTGAAGATCAAGATGAGGACATGGACGAAGAAATGGATGGCGACACCGTATCGGAGACTGGGTCCGATGTTTCTGATCCTGAGCCCTCTGTGCAGTCTGCCTTTGGCGTTTCGGTCAAATCTCCAGGTCGGCTCAAGATCTACTGCCTGAATCGCATTCACTAAACTCTACCCCAGACACCCCACTGTTTACCGCCGCAGGCGCCCAGGAAGCATTGCACCCCCTTCGCCGGACGGCTGACCGCGTTACTCGCCAGATCGAAGCATTCGCCGATAAGCTTGATCGATTCAAGCGCGACAACTCCGCCGACGACTTCAACAGCGCCCAGGCAGCTTACAAGCTCGTGCAGAGCTACCGCGACATTGCGAACAATGCGATCAAGGAAATCGAGACACAACAGACCGTTGATCGGACAAAGACGGGCTTCCGGTCGAGCGCATCGCAAGACACCAAAAGCTACGAAGAGATACGGCGATTGCAACTTGAGGCTGACACTTGGCGCCTCCTGCTCAACCTGATCAGCATTGACGACCCCTCCAGCCGGGCCAGCTACAAGGCCGGACGACAGACAGCTTTCCAGAACCTTCACCGCTACTCAACCGATCGCGAGATCTGGGAAGAGTTCCTCAACGCCGATCAGTATGGTCTTGAATGCGTGGTTGCTATGCGGTGGTTGGAGGAAACTTCCAAGACAGGAAGCCAAGAGTTTGATACACTGATCACGGAAATGGAGGAGCAATCGCGAAGGGGTCATGGATTGTGGACAACCGGTTGGCTTTATACCAAAGAATCGATCAAGGGCCACAAACGTTTGCGCGCCTGGCCACAGCCGCTTGAACCCAATGACCCGGGAATATCGCGCTCGCTTTTGAGCAAACACGAACAAAAACCGCTTGTTACTCAACTCGATCCAGATGCGATCATTCGTCAGAAGCATGGATTAGAAAAGGAGGACGAATTTTTCGAACGCGCCACCTGGATAACTTGCTGGAAGATGCTGAGACAAGGAGAGAACTGGACTAAGATTCGTGAATGGGCAGAGACTCGTCTGGAAGGATGGAGGGCCGTCAGCTTGTGCGGCTCTAGTGTGGATCCCAAGTCGGCAAGTTCTCGATACCCATCTGACGATGGCCACACGCGTTTGATGAACAGTCGATCCCACGATTCATGGCGCACTGCTTGCGCTGCGCTAACACGCGACTCTAATACCGACGAATTCCAGCGAGCGGTATACGCCCTGCTTGCTGGTGAAACCGATGCTGCAGCCAGTGTCTGCCGCAGCTGGGACGACTTCCTTTATGTGTATTTCAACCGTGTTGTGCTCTCACGCTATCAAGGATTCTGCAAGCAATTCCAGCGGAAACTCGGCCACTCCCCCAACACCCCTGTGGCCTTCATGCCAGAACCAGCTGGGCATGCAGAACTTCAAAAGTTCCTTGTCTACCTCAAGGGCAACGACCGGGTCAGCGGCGAAGCGCGTAATCCATTCCGCAATATCCAGGCCACGATTCTCAGCAAAGGCTACGATACATTCTTCACTTCTCTGGCTCATGCTGTATCTCAAGTTAGCGCCGACAAATATGGGAATAGCTCTGTTATCCCAGAGATCGCGCGCAAGCCAGTAGATGAATCTCTCCTTATAGCTGCCGATGACGAAGAAGCTCTCAGAATTGCAAGCCATGTCTACGTTGTGGCCAGTGCGAGGGGCTACGCCCGCGTGGATGCCCACTATGTCGAAACGGCGTCGGTGATCGTGGCTGGACATATTGCCAACCTGGAAGACAGAGGTCTTTTTCATCTTGTCCCACTTTACGTCTCTCTCCTCCCCGCGCCAATGGGTCACGAAGTTCTATCCAAGATTCTTATTGAAATCGTTGACCCGCAAGAGAAGATACAGCAAGTTCGCCTTGCGCGGAAACATCACATTGATATGGAAACTGTTCTTGATGTTCAATGGGCGTGGGTGAAGAAGCATGTGTCTGCAACTGATCAATCTAGAAGAGTCACTGGCTATTCGAGAGTGCTGCGACGACCTGATGGTTCCCGGGCATTGGTCTCGCCCAAGACCGACTTGGTCGGGACCTCCGTCGCTCCGGAAGACGACAGGATGATTCGCAGTCTGGAGTGGCTTCGCTACATCGACGGCCAGTGGGATAAGATCTGCGATCTTGGATCATGGCTGTATCGCAAGTTCTTCCGTATGATTTTTGTTCCTCCTTTTATAATGAATCCGGCCTTGCTGATTATTGCTAGTTGCCGATAAGCTTGCCGCTGCTCGTGAATTAAGTTTCCGTATTCGGTTGGCTGATATCTCAATTGAGAAATTCGGATCCGACATCATTTCGATGCCTCCGCAAGAGGGGCCACATCTTGACTCAACCACGCCAACTAGCCCCACCAAATCAAAGAGAAATGGCCCCCAACGGCAAAGTCTTTCCGGCTCCAGCAACCTTGCACTGGTTTCAGCCTACTACAAGGCTCATCGGGTTCTAGATCTGGAGAGTTTAGCTCTTGGGTTTGATGCTGTGGAGCAATTTGCATTGGTGCACGAACAGATGTCCAAGTGAGTCCTCTCCTTCCCTACTCCATCTCATGACCAAAGCTAATAAATCCAGGACCAAACGTCGACGCGACTCGGGCACCCTGAAGGGCATGGGTCAAGACATGAACGAGTGCGTCACTATTTTAGAAGAATGGGTCGGAGCAGTGGTCGCTGAAGACTGGCTACCCATATCTACCGATGGTATGTACTTGTTGTCGCGCCATTGGACATTCCATGCTAATCCGTTCCGACAGCCGAGGAAGAACAAGACTTTGAACACATTCGGACGACCTACATTCCCGAGCTGCTTCTCGATTGGCACAACGCTTTGTACTACGCCAGTCACACCCTTGAGCGGCATGACCTGTTGACATCCTGCATGATTGTGTCAATCTGGGCTGCAAACTACGAGCACATCACTCGTGCCTTTACAAAGTCACGACGTATGGCAGAACTTGTCGATGTGCTCGCGTTGTCCAGCAAGGCCTTGGTCATCCGGGACTCCAGTCAGCGCAAGTCCCCAACGGACCACAACACTTTCGAAAAGGGTCAGGAACTGAAGATCTGGGACGTCATGATCTCCGAAGAAGAAAAGAAGAGGCTCGGGATCGTATCGTCCGCAGACCGGAAGCAGTAGATCTAGCGGGAAATTGTTCTGTGTACATTAGCATGGGATTTGAGTAGTTTTGAGTTTTTTTTTTAACGGCAAGGCTCTGGTATGAACGAAACTGGATCAAACACGGAAGGAGGACAGGTTACTTCATTTTTACTACGGCTGCTACATGTCAATAGGACATCTACGAATGCACAGCATCGTCTGTTGTCAACAATCTTTGATCGCAAGTTTCATTCATGTTCTTTTCGCATCAAGTTGCCTTTTCTCACCCGCTAGGAGGTTATTAGCATCAACCCCCCCCCCCCTACCCCCAAGCTTAACTTTGTGAAAACCCACTACGCATATGGATTGGTCGCATTGGAGTATAATAACCTCAAGCGAGCACAATCGCTCAAGAGGCGCCATTGACGTAGTTATCGCGGCAATCTACACGGAAAATAGCCCCATTGATTAAGAATAAACCGATCAATCAACAAAGCCGCCGAGGGAGAGGAAGCCATTTCGGGTATCAGGAACATGTGCAGTGATATAGACTACACGGACATCTAGATGTACCTAGGCCGCGTGGGTAGAGACCATCAACCGATCCAAATTAAGCGTTTACGTGCTAAAGATCGTCATCAACTGCAGCAATCGTCCCGCAGCTGTGATATAACCAACGGAAACCCAATTCCTACTGTCGGATGATAGCCTCCGCCACGCGAGCCCGTTGCGCCGGAGCTGGGATAGGCCCCCTGCCCACGAACATGGGCACCCACATGAGCCCTGTCCTTGTCTTCACCTCCGTCTCCAAACGGAAACCGGTAGCGTTTGATCGCGAGCCCGATTGGGTACGCTTGTCGGGGTGGTTTATAATCTCTTCGGGGAGGTGCGTGCGCGTCTAGGGGTTGATGCGCTGTGCTAGTGGGGGTTCTACAATTGGAGTTGAAGGAGGGGGGGAGGTTGGTACTGGGTAGGAGGGTGCTTTCGCGAGATGCTCCTGGGCTGAGGCTGGGACGGCGGTGAGACCATACTTGTCGGTTGGGTTGAATATTTTCCTAATTTGGGGTTTCTGGGTCGGGGCTAGGTTGTTAGATAGGGGCACTAGTTCTTGGGATTAGTTTGATACTCACACGGTTTCAGATACGGTGTTGTCTTTTTGTTCGATGTTGAGCCATGGATTACTTTTATGGGCTGACAGGAAATTAGGCTGATGGGAGGTATCTCTAGTACAACGCAGCTACTCCGCCCAATTTCGATTTGCAGAGGGACTACTACATAAGCTCGGCGTACTCTTTCTGTGCTCCGTGGAACGGTCTCAAGCTTTAGTGGGTTTGAACCAGTCTAATCCATCATAGCTACGGAGGACATTTATGTTGTACGCCGTACGATGCTCCAAATGCAAGGATCAAAATGTGTGGTCTGAGTGTGGCTGAGTTCATGTGGTATGAGCTTTCATGGCGACCTCGGGGAGTTACGTTGTTCTACAACATAGTCCGTCTCGCTTCAGGACTCAGAGATGGATTTTTTTTTTAGATTGTGAAGCAGATCCAATCGTCAAACCGCAACTAGTCTAGCTCATGCTACGTCGAACTCCGTCCACGTCGATCATGTGGAGTTGTTGATAGGGGACGTCATCACTTTGTCCAGGATATATACACATATGTTGTATATGTGATATATTAGCTTGAATTGAGATGGGTACATGCCTGGGCTGGATTGTAATCCATTAAATCTCCCTTCATTCAAATCAGAGCCTGCAACTTCTATACCCGCGTCTCGGTGCATTCTATTCAAATTTCTTTTTGTTTCATTCTCTTCCCCCTTATTTGCCGGATCGGGATCTCGGGCATTGTCCAATGTCTTGGCAAATGAGGCAGTGCAGGCGCTATATAGCTTGGTATTGTTTGCTCCTTCGTTGACCGGAAACATGAAGAATTTTTTCTTGGAGGTGCTGTAAACAAAGATCAAGGGATCATTAGGTGGTGTACGGAGTCCAGTGTCCAGTCGATCTAAGGAGGAGAATCGTTTTCTGCAGAAATTCAGCAAGGGCTGTACTAGTACCGAAAGTGGAGAAAATGAAGGCGAAAAAGAACAAATCCAAATGGTTACTTCATAAAAGTTATGAAATGTAGTTCTCGACCGTAAATTGTGGATGGTTGACGTCTCCAACGGGGGCAATTACTGTCTTGCCTCCTATCTTTTACACTTTGACACCTCTACACCTTTCCAACCCTTACCTCCATTTTTAATCTTATTTAGGTTTAGAGGTTTTATGGGGTTCACATTTTCTCTCTGTGTGATCCTTCTCCACTCCATGAACTGCCCATCAACCCGGGTGTATGCCACGCGTGAATCGCGCATTGAATAGACATCACAATGTCATACCCGCGCCCAAAAGATGAGCCGGGTCAATCAACCCTGCGCAGAGAGCGAGCGCCGACCATTACCATCGACACCTCGGCCGTGAACTCATCCGATACCGAACACCCTCCCATCCAGATCCTCTCTGGGGGATCACAGACCTATACCGAGAACGCACAGGCCCCCGACACAACCGCACTGCTAAACAATAGCAGTGTCTCTCCCACGGATTTACGGTCCACACCCTCGATTCGCTCCAATGCCTCCTCCGAAGCTCGTGACCGAGAGAGTTGGCCAACCTCACCCCACAACGTCTCATCACCCAAGATGAGGGCGCCTGAGGCACATTCGAACTTCCTTTCAGTCCCTGGAACACGCTCCCGCGGGAACTCCTTGGAGTCGGACGAGACTGGCCAAACATCGAGCACGTACGGCGGTGAGACGTATGTGCCCTCAACATCGCACGAATCAAGGTCTGATTTGGCCAAGAACGCTGCCATAAATGACATACACGATGAGGATGTCCTGAAACCAGACCCCGGCCGTGAATCCGAATTTGAGGTCGAGGACAACAAGTTCGCGTTCTCCCCGGGTCAGCTGAACAAGCTGCTCAATCCGAAAAGCTTCGGCGCCTTCTATGCGTTGGGAGGCCTGCGAGGATTAGAAAAAGGACTCCGAACTGATGTAAAAAGTGGCCTGAGCGTTGATGAGACAACCCTTGACGGAACAGTCGGCTTTGACGAGATTGTCCCACTTGCCTCACCTGCCTCACCAGATCAGATACCCAAGGCGGCCTCTCCGAATACATCGCCACCACCCGCCACGGAGGGTTCCATCACCACACAAAACGGGGAAAATTTTGTCGACCGCCGACGTATCTTCGGAGATAACAGGCTTCCGGAGAGGAAGTTGAAGACTATCTGGGAGCTTGCATGGATTGCCTACAACGATAAGGTCCTGATTTTGTTGACGGTTGCGGCTGCAGTTTCCCTTGCTGTGGGAATACCGCAATCGCTCCATCCAGCACATCCTGATGAACCTGGCGTTGAATGGGTCGAAGGTCTGGCCATTCTCGTGGCCATAATAATTGTGGTTACGGTTGGTGCAGCGAATGATTGGCAAAAGGAACAACAATTTGCAAAACTGAACAAAAAGAAAGAGAATCGACAGGTCAAGGTAACGCGATCTGGCCGTACAGAGGAAATTTCCATTCACGACGTCTTGGTTGGCGACCTGATGCTTCTGGAACCTGGTGATATGGTCCCAGTTGATGGGATCTTGATCGAAGGCCACGACCTCAAGTGCGACGAATCTTCGGCTACTGGTGAGTCCGACGTTCTTCGCAAAACTCCGGGGGATGAAGTGTACCGGACAATCGAGCAACACGAAGACCTGAAGAAGATGGATCCTTTCATCATTTCTGGTGCCAAGGTCTCCGAGGGCGTTGGCACCTTTTTGGTCACAGCGACCGGTATGCACGCTACCTTCGGGCGGACGATGATGTCCCTCCAGGAGGAGGGCGAGACAACGCCTTTGCAAACGAAGCTCAACACATTGGCTGAGCACATTGCCAAACTTGGTCTCGCGTCTGGTTTGTTGCTGTTTGTGGTTCTTTTCATCAAATTTTTGGTTCGTCTCAAGGATATCGAGGGTGGTGCGGACGCCAAAGGTCAAGCATTCCTGCAGATTTTCATCGTTGCTGTTACAATCGTCGTCGTTGCAGTACCCGAAGGATTACCACTGGCTGTCACGCTCGCTCTGGCCTTTGCCACAACACGAATGCTCAAAGACAACAACTTGGTTCGCTATCTCAAAGCTTGCGAGACTATGGGTAACGCTACCACGATTTGCTCTGACAAAACTGGAACCTTGACAGAGAATAAGATGACCGCGGTGGCTGCGACTTTGGGTACCACCTCTCGGTTCGGAAAGTATTCTGGTGTCTCGTCCGATGATCAAAGTGAGATCAACCCCTCCGAATTTGTCTCTACTCTATCGCCGTCGGTGAAGGATGTCCTCCTGCAGTCGATTGTCTACAACTCAACCGCATTCGAAGGCGAAACAGATGGAGTTAAGACGTACATTGGATCCAAGACAGAGACCGCCCTATTGACTTTCGCCAGGGATTACCTCGGAATGGGGGTCCTTAGTGAAGCGAGAGCAAACGGCAAGCTCGCCCAGATGTTCCCATTCGACTCCGGTCGCAAATGCATGGCAGTTGTAATCCAAATGGAGAATGGAAAATACCGGATGCTAGTCAAGGGTGCCTCTGAGATTCTCGCCGCCAAGTCGACTCGTATCGTCCGAGACCCCACTGACTCTCTGTCGGAGGCTCCTGTTACCGACGAGAACAGGACGTCACTAGACAACGTCATGAACAACTACGCCACTCGCTCTCTCAGATGCATTGCCCTGGTCTACCGTGACTTTGATCAATGGCCACCTCGTGGGGCTCCTACATCGGAAACCGATCGCAACCAGGCTGTCTTCGAACCTGTCTTCAAGGACATGGTAATGTTAGGAATCTTTGGTATTCAGGACCCCGTCCGGGCAGGTGTGGCCGAGGCAGTATACACCTGTCAACGAGCTGGAGTGTTTGTCAGAATGGTGACGGGTGATAATATTGTAACCGCCAAGGCTATTGCGCAAGAGTGTGGTATCTACACACCTGGCGGTATCGCCATTGAGGGACCCAAATTCCGCAAGCTGAGCACACGTCAAATGAACCAAATCATCCCAAGGCTCCAGGTCATCGCCCGCTCTAGCCCTGAGGATAAGAAGATCCTGGTCAACCAACTCAAGAAGCTTGGAGAGACTGTTGCTGTCACTGGAGATGGTACCAACGATGCCCAGGCCCTCAAGAATGCCGATGTTGGTTTTGCCATGGGTATTACTGGTACCGAAGTTGCCAAAGAGGCCTCTGACATTATCCTTATGGATGACAACTTCTCCTCTATCGTCAAGGCTATGGCATGGGGTCGCACCGTCTGTGACGCCGTCAAGAAATTCCTTCAGTTCCAAATCACTGTCAATATCACCGCCGTCATTCTCACCTTTGTCTCTGCAGTCGCTAGTGATAGTGAGGACTCAGTGCTTAGTGCAGTACAGTTGCTGTGGGTCAATTTGATCATGGACACATTTGCCGCTCTCGCTTTGGCAACTGACCCACCTACGCCAACAGTGCTTGACCGCAGACCTGAGTCGAAATCCGATCCGCTCATTACTTTGACAATGTGGAAGATGATCATTGGACAATCCATTTATCAGCTGGTTGTGACTTTCGTGCTGAATTTTGCTGGGGATAAGATATTCTCTTGGGATCATAAGCATCTGCAGACTGTCGTTTTCAACACTTTCGTCTTTATGCAAATTTTCAACCAGTACAACTCCCGTCGGGTTGACAATAAGCTCAACATTCTGGAGGGAATTTGGAAAAATCGTTGGTTCATTGGCATTCAGCTTATCATTATTGGAGGTCAAATCTTGATCATCTTTGTTGGTGGCGCTGCTTTCTCCGTCAAGCGTCTTAACAAAGGCTCGCAGTGGGCTGTGAGTCTTGTGCTTGGAGCACTCTCCTTACCAATCGCCGTGGTCATTCGTCTTATTCCGGATGAACTCGTTGCCAGACTTGTCCCCCACTTCTGGCATCGCGAGAAGGGTCCCGAATTAGTCATTTCAGACGAGGACCGCCACTACGAGTGGAATCCCGCCCTGGAAGAAATCCGCGATCAGCTCGCCTTCATCAAGCGCGTCCGCGGTGGACGTCTGCGACACATCCGCCATAAGCTGCAACATCCCCAGGAACTTCTTCCTCGGTCCCGCAGTGGCTCCCGCTCGCGTGATTCCTCCGTCCCACCTACACCGAGGGGCGACAACGACAATGACACCGGCAGCCCGACACCACAATCGACGACCCCAGAGTCTCGGTCCAGACGAAACACACGATCGCGATCGAACTCGGCGTTCGGACCCGCTGCTGCTATGGCAGGTATCGTTGCCGGTAGTATTGCCGGGTGGTCTCCCATCGAGCGAGGCCACAACGAGCCCGAAATCACCTTCCCGACAAACGGTGGCCCTCACTGCGGCCTTGATCGCGAGCAAGGCATTGAAGTGCACCCGGATACCGCAGCTGATGACCGTATCTTGAACGAGTACTCCGCTACCTCCAAAATTCCCCCGAGCCAGAACCCAGATCTAATTCCATTCTTCGAGCATGCTCCCCCGATGCACCGCGCGCCCTCTAGCCGTGGCCGTCGCTCTCTGTCTCAGCGGTCGAGATCAAGATCGAGCATCAGTCAATCCCACGTCTGAGCTCACTCTCTCTCGCCTTTCTTCTGTCCCGTTTTTTTTTTTCATTCTCCCTAAACGTCGGGGTCATCTTTAATTCGTTATGCCCTATTCCCCCTCGACTCAAATCTACTGCTATCTTTTCGGTTTCTGGAAATGGGCGATTCGGCGCAACGCTGTTGAAAATTAAGCATAGACTCTGTACTTTTGGGTCCATACAATCATTTGCATTTGGGTTTGGTGGCCAGGCCGGTCTTTTTTTGGATATCTCTTGGCGCATACAAGGCCTTAGAGCCATCCAGCATTTCATTCTTCTTTTAATGCCTGACTGTAAAGTTCGCCAAGATTCTGAAGATACCACGTTCTTTCCCTCCTTCTTTCTTTGTAAATTGCTCTTCATCATAGCCATAGACATGTATTTTGGAAGTTCCAGCTGGAACATGGATGGCATTTTCACTGCTTCTCTTATGTGATGACATGCTTACAGGGGTAACAGAGAAGAGATGAAGTTAGGAAAGGCACAAACGTAGGCGGTGTATTTCTGCTGGAAAGTGAGGTTATGTTGAACTTCAACCTTTCGCTCTTCGAGGCATATGGTTAACTGAAAATATGTAGAGAAGATTAGCATGGCCCCTGTACTAAAGATGACGTGCTTAATTTAAGAGAAGCTACCTCTTGTTTTTCCCCTTCGATGTCCGATTTTGAGGTTGTACGGTGTGGGTCATTTTGGAAATTTCAATTGGTCCCGCCACATTGGGCAGTCCTCCGCTGTGGCCAATAAAATCGGGTATTTGAGACCCACAGTGCGCGAAGGTGGGGTCGTGGGTTCCCTGTCCCACTTGGGCAATCACGTGCCTAGCCGGTACCTGATGTTTACAGAAGTTTAAAAGCTGGATGGGCGTTAGATGGGTATCTCAACTATATAGGGAAAGATATAATAAGTTGAATAGGGGAAAAGGATTGAAATGTCTCGCTACGTCTGCTTACGATCGCAAAAATAGTCGGCAGCTTATGCGGCCTTGCATAGTCTTTTGGTTGTCTTCTAGATGATGCGTCTACACTTGCAATTCTAGCCCCGCTATCACTACTCTAATTATTACCTAATGTGACGCCAAATTTCAAGTTCGTTGCTCTAGTATTCATCGCCTGTGTCATTTCGAGCATACTTTGTTGAGGCGGACGAAACCAGAGTGCAGGATCTCAGTCACGGCATAGATGAGCGCAGTTGACAAATGGACAGCAAGAACGATACACCGGACAACTCTAGGTTTCTACTCGCAGATGTTATATTCAGATCTATGTCCGTTTACTTTGCACCGCGAATTGAGTTTATGTTCAAGACTCTCTCAACTACGCCAAGGTAGATCTTGAGGAACCCCAGACAAAGGGAATAGGATGTTTTATCTATGGCGGTCACCAGCGATCCGAAATTTGGGATAATCTAAATGATATGCCGCCTCTCTCCACAGGCCTATGGGGTAAACTGGGGTACTATTCATCTTTCCATTAATACACTTGATTTTTGGATTCTTAGAGAAGTCTATTCTAACAAGTCTCATGAGAACCTTGCTCCATAAATCTCCACGCCAGGAGTATCGGGTCGGATGACCCCCAAGGTGGATAGGTCAGTCCCCCTACCAGCACATTCAGTACTTCAGTCGTATACTCACTAGGATGTTATAATATCACCCATCACCCACTACAAAGATACCTGAAACTCTGCGAAGAGAATCCTTGACTTGTTACCTATTTCAACGGCGTATGTTGTGTGCTCTTTCATCTGCCCCAATATTTGGCAGCACTATACAGGGTCTAAAATGGATCAGCACTAGAGTCAAAGACCCAAACAAGTATTCAGAGTAGTCGTTATGCACTGCAACAGACTAGTTCATAAACGGAAAAATATGCCCAAGCCCAAAATTGCAGGCAAACTCTACCAAGCTCTCATACCACACCCTCTCGCCCGAACCCAAACATCCACAATCCGAGACGCGTCGCTGTCGTGATCCGAATCGACAACAAAATACCAGCCATAAAAGGCACCGGTAACACAAGCATGATTCGGGTGCACTTTAACCACTTGTCCAATTCGCAGGGGAATCTCCGTCTGGGACTCACTCTCCCAAGTCACAATTGCATGCTCCTGACTGATCCTTTCGACAACCAATCTCTCCGACGAAGCTTTAGGCACTCCATCCAGTTGCCAAGAAGAAAGAACCCCCCAGCCGGAGTAACTCGGACACGGCTCTCGACCCAGTGCAAGCGTCCCGACAGCGAGGAGCGCCTCGGGCTTTTCGCGTTCGCCATCGTTATACACGCTGCACACTTCAGTGAGCACCGAGATGGCAATTTCATCCTCCAACATCCCAGCATCAGCACTAGCATGTGTGGAGAATTGTTGCATATCCAGGATGGGATAGACGCCAGCATGCAGCTCGACATTGGTCTCACGAAGCAAAGCCTTGAGCTCCTGCGCTTCCGCGGAGGGAGAGTCATCGCGCAGCAAATTCTGGGACGACACTACCTGCGGCGTAGCACCAACGCTGATGACCAGTTCTCTTTTGGGCAGTAGATGCAAATTTCTCTCCAGGGCATCTTTGCATCCGCGGATCTCGCTGATCAAATGACCCATCGCTTTCTCTGGGGTTGTCCCGCTATAGCTTAGACTGCTGTGTGAGTACAACCCGAGAAGCCTTGCCCCTTCTTTTTCCTCCGCGGAGGCAAGTTTCTCGAGTAACCCGTTCTTGTTGAGGGATATGGGCGGCAAGCCGGCGCGGTGGTAGCCCGTGTCGACCTTGACAAATACACAGGTCGAATGCCCTGCTAGAGAGGATAGTTTCTCCAGGTGAGGAAGTTGGTCTGGGTGGTCAATCATCACAGTGATGCTGTTCTCGCCTAACTCGCGGGATGCCTTGGCTAGTAGTGGAACCTGTGATGGGACGAGGGGGATGCCATAGAGTATGTTAACTTTGCGGCCTCTTTGTTTCAGATCTTGTAGTAGAGGGATCATCATTTCGATCTCCAGAACTGTGGAGGCTATGAAATTGGCCTCAGTGCTGTCGCCGACTTGAAGCTTGGCGATTTCGGGGGTCTGATGTTCATAAGTGAGTGTAATCGCTAGGACAATATGGGGTTTCGAGGCCTCGCACCTTGTGGGACTTAACATGAGCTCTGAATCCGATATTGAGCGTTTTGATTGTGCGTAACATTGTCTCACAGTGTCGTCGGATGATTGCTACGTCGAGGACAGCAGCCGGTTTGGGTACATCGCTGAGGTCCTTGCCGATGTAGAATTGCTGCAAGTCTTCCTGGGACGGTGTTATAGGAGCCATATTGAGATATGGAGCAGGTTACCAAGAAGTGTGGAATGGACATTTGTATTCTCTCTCCTAAATAGAAAATGTGGGGCGGAGGATGTCAAGTCCGCCTGCGCCGTCCACCGACATCCACCATCTGATGTTCCCGTTCCTGAGATATCCTCTAGTTTCACAACTCCTTTCCTCCAAACCCAATTGGTGTAGTCTCGGCCTTAGACCGGACCACTGCTGCCATTCCCCTGCTGGTTTGAGTCTTCCGTGTCTAAAACATAGCTAATAGAGACGTAGGCTTTGTGCACTTGAGTGACACTTTTGGAACGTTTGGTCTGGTACATTGGATCTTACAAGGGAGAAATGGCATTGATTAAGCCTGGATTTGATGTTACGGCACGAAATAGCCAAATATTTCCCTCGACTTTTATCTTCGTCCAGAACATCCATCCAAAGCCACCGGACTCGCTCAGCATTGTATTGTGAACCTGCATCTTTATATTGAGTCAATAATGAATTGATTTGACCGCATTTGCGGCCTTGTGTCGTCTGCATGGCTGTCAATTCAAATCTCTCTTTTTAAAATGCGTTTTGCTCTTCTGCAGTTTTTTAAATAAACGGCAGAGGAAGCCAGGGAAAGACTCAGTTGGTGAAATTTGCTTTTGTATGTATAACCTGGGACTAGCTGACGATCTCTTCAATCAAAACCGAGAAGAATCACGTACCCTATTTTACACCATTGTGAGAAGAGTTATCACGATAGGAGAACTTATAGTGGAGGTAGACTGCAAGCCAGAGCTAACCCGACCAGAGTTTGCATGTTGCATGGCAAGAAGCGCAGCCAACACATCCTGACTGAAAAGGATGGAGGCTCCTTGGGTTTTGTCCGAGTAAGAGTGGGTAAGAGAGAGAGAGAAGAGCGAAGAGGGGAAATTCCAAGACATAGAAATCGATGTGATATCAATAGCTCTTATTTATCGACTGCTCTTTTCTCATAATTGATCAACTACAATGTCTACATGTAGTTCCATTCTTGTTTTTAAATCTCTCTCCTTGCACTTCTTTTGAATCTTTCCAATCGAACTCTTTACATTTAAAGAAGGGAGCTTTTTATGCAATCTTGAATATTTCAACAGATCCTCATCTCGTCACTCTTAGCCACTATTAAGAAGTGACTGGGCAATCTAGGCCCTGTAACCATTTCTCAAATTCTACGTGGCTACCAAAGCAACTAATCAAAATCACTTCTGTGTTCTAAAGATGCTTCATTCGAGATGATGTCAGGTTAGTCCTGATACAATCAAAGACATCCTATCAAACAATTAAGGATCGCTTATTCTCTAGTATTGTAATGCAATTAAACTCTATAAGGTGGCTGCCATGAGCCAGGAGAGCCATAATGATAGCTGTAACCCTCATTTCTACCTTTTGGTTGGAATTCTTCAGCCTAGACATCCCCTATAGCATCTCGAATTGGAAATTTTCTAGTAACTCTATAGCTATCGAACATAGAACATAGTAGTAGCGAGTTTGTAATGCGCATAACGTGCCTTGTTGGTAATCAAGCCTTTGTAGCAGAAGATTTCCATCTTAACGACTCGGCATCTTTCTAACATATCTCGCCACCACCTCCATAGAAAACTAGGAGAGTTCGCCTTCACAGATCCACATCACGGATTCTGGCTTGTTGGTCACAAAAGACGGAAGGAAAGCTAAGCTGAACTTGTAGGAAATGGCCTGGTAGGGACTTGAGCGACGTACTATCACATAATTCAGGATCTCATTCGAGAGAAGTCCGGTAGAAAGGTGCTTAATCCGGCAAAGAGCTTGGAGCACCGTTCAATCTTTCATAGCACCCCCTGTATCTTTTACCCAATCAGCTCGGGTTTAGATGGGCTGCACAGCGTAGAAATCAAGATGAGTCATGAGTGGCTTAATGAAAGTGAACGTAAATCAAAGCTCTCTATTAGAGCCCCTTTCCTCGGACCTTCTTTTCCCCAGTGCTAGAGCAAACTATCGCTGGAAATGCCACGGGAAAAATTCATCCCACATCCATCACAGGGGACAAGGATACATTTCTCGCGGAAGTTGCTCAACGGAGCTTTAGGCTGATCATCACCTTCCTCCATTTCACATCCTCTCCTGAAATCATAGCATCGTATAGAATCGTGAGCTAATTCACACTCCTTGCATCGACAACATTCCCAAGCATGCATATTCGGAGCTTTCCAGCATACCACTTACCCCATACGGAAATGTATCGCGGATCATAGGGATCGACGGGACTTTTTTTTTAAATTTTCTTGGTGTGGCTATCATGGGCCTATCATGCTCCTTGATAGTAACATGAGGACGTTGCAGACCCGCCGAAGATGGGTGAGGGTGGGTGTCTTGGTGGATGGGGCCAATATTGCGCGATGAGGTTCCTCCCCCCACTTGCATGTTGGGAGAATTTAAAGCTGAATGACTCTCTTATCTCTACACCAGACGATCGATTATCCGATCTGTAGAGCGTGTTTCTCCAAGGCTTTATCTCAATAGTTCCAGTTCCAGTGCTCATCATTGCATACGTCTACGAGCTACTCAGCTGGTGCCTTGATTGCTGAGGAATGCGTATGTATCCAGTCTCCCCTCGAGTCGTTACACCGTCTCACTGGGTAGACAGGGTGATATCAATGTCCAACGACCTAGCAATGGCGCACTGGCCCTAGGTGCTTTTTCTTTATATCTACCATGCCAAAGCCCCACCCCGTCATGTTTTGCACGCACGGCTCATTTCCCTCCCCTTTTGTAACTTGTATAGCTCTGGATCTACGAGGTCCAACCTATACGCGAGACTCGACATTTAATTGTGTTGCCAGTGGATTCAAAGCTTCGGTCCACGAACAGCTTCATCCCACATCGCCCACCAAAACGGCCTTTGAAATATCAAATATCTGAGGATGACGCCCAGCGATGTCGAAAAAGCCCACAGCTTGCATACTCTCGAGGATCCGATCCAGTTTCACCTCGATAAAAGTGCCTCAAGATGCTCCTCTGACGACTTAGACCTCGCAAAGCCTGGCCCCGTATCACAGTCAACATGCCAACAATGGATTGCAAACTTGAAAAATGTGGAGAGCCGCGGTATCGAGCCTATTCCCATCGAAAATCGAGAGCCAATAACATCTTCAACCATACTTCATATGCTGCTAATGTGGTTTAGCATGACATTGGCTACAAACAACATCGTTATTGGATCAATGGGCACACTCGTGTTAGGCCTCAGCTTCAAGGACGCGGCTCTCTGTGCTGTATTTGGATGTTTAGCCGGCAACTGCATTGTTGGCTTTATAAGCACATTGGGACCAAAAAGCGGGAACCGAACTTTGGTATGTTTTTTTTTAATTTTTACTTTTTATTTCATTTTCCGAAACATCGGGGAACTCCCTGCGTAAGGAGATGAACGGTACTCAGAAGATGAATGGATGCTCACGAATTTGATAGATCGTGGCCCGATATTTTATGGGCTATTATCCAAGCAAAGTTTGCATTATCCTAAACCTTTTCACCAATATCGGATATAGCATGGTAAACAGCGTCGTAGGTGGCCAGATTTTGTCTGGGGTCTCTGGTGATCATCTTTCCGTGATAGTGGGCATTATCATTGTTGCCGTTACCAGCTGGGCTATGGCCCTCTTTGGCATGAAAATCTTTCAACTATATGAACGGTAAGTGTGGGCAGCCTAGGATAAACGCCCTGGATGCATAATTCTAACCAAGAACAGAGTTGCCTGGTTGCCACAGCTGCTGGTGATATGCGTGATGGTGGGTTCAGCAGGGCCTAATTTCGACTTCAACATTCAGACCCCAATGTCTACAGAACAATTGATTGCCAAAAGACTAACGTTCTTCTCCCTGGCATTGTCCATTGGCCTCGCCTGGGCCCCGCTTGCCGCTGATTACTATGTCTATCTCCCACCGCAAATGAAGAGCTCTCGGACATTCCTGGTCACAGTCTTCGCCGCCACTACTGCCATGGCAATTGTTCTCCTTGTGGGCATTGGTCTTGGAACCGTCATTGCCAGCTCCGCACATTCTGCGTCCAAGTACGGCAGCAGTCCTGGAGGCGTGCTGATGACAGCATATGACGGCCTTGGAGGGTTCGGAAAATTCTGTGCTGTTATCAATGTCCTCGCCTTGGTTGCCAATAATACTCCCGGGGCGTACTCAATGGGAATGAATTTACAGATGGTTGGCGGGGTTTTTGGAAAGGTTCCCCGGTCAGTGTTCACGACTCTCGCTACTGTTATCTACGCCGCATGCGCGATGGGAGGCCGGGACCGGCTTTACGAAATCTTCAAGTCTTTCCTGCCTCTGATCGGATATTGGGTCATGATGTTTGTCGTAATTATCTTCGAAGAAGACATGGTCTTCCGCCGAAAAAGAGGCTATGACTGGTCTCAGTGGAATTGTCGCGATAAACTGCCTTGGGGGATTGCAGCGGGAGTTTCTTTCCTGATTGGGTGGGCTGGAGCAATTGTCGGCATGGTAAGACAAGTGATTTCCCCCAAATCAATATGCTGTGTCGTGCTGATACTTGGATTCAGTCTCAAGCGTACTACATCGGCCCCATTGCGCAGATGGCTGCCGAAGCCGATCTGGGTCTCTGGTTGGGTGCAGGCTTCACTGCGATGGTTTTCCCACCGTTACGGGCATTGGAGCTAAAATTCATTGGTCGCTAGTGTACCACTCTTTGATTGCACTGACATCATGATCCGCCAGGAATTGTGGACGCAGAGAATTTGATATCCTCAACACGAATCCCGAGAGTATATATCGATCAGATCACAGACTAAGGGGTCCCATGGTCAATACTTACGTTGGCCTCCCCAGGTTCTTATTACAGAACCTCTGTTCTGTTTTGGAATGTAGTGTATTCTAAAGTAGATCATCCCGTTTTGGTATGAAATATATCAAAAACATAAACGGTTGAGTGCTAGGAAGAGATTTTTTTTAAAAATGGTGCCGCCCAGTCAAATGAAGAGCCCTATTGTCGCAGTTACATGTCGTTTCCTACTATTCGTGCTTAATTCTTAGCCCTTCCCGTCGAAGACCGGCTAGGATTCCTATCCTGGTTATTTTATGGGTACTTTATCTCATTGTATTTCTACGCTTTTATAGTACAGATACTACTATATCAAGATGCCTCGCAAGCCAAGATTTAGATATCACAAACGATTTTAACCAGCCACGCCTAAATACCGAACCAGTTGATTCTCAATATACCCCTTGTACAAGAAAAGGTTTACTATGGTCCGAAGAAGTGTTTTAATTAGTGAAGCTTAGGGAAGAACAGAATCTTGCTTGTTTAGAGGTAACGAGACAATTTGCACAGAAACTCGCCGGGAGAAGTAAAGGGTCCATATAGGTGTACCGGAGCACGACGTTCAAGAAATAGCGGCGAGCTTTGGCGGATGCCACGTAGGAAAGGCCACCCTAATCGATACTTAGACCATTCCCTCGTTTTCTCTTGCACCACAAACCGTAACGTTGATAAAATCAGAACTCTTGATTGCCTTTTCGAGTTGGTTTTGCCGGTTCTGGTTTGGCGAAGAGACCGACTGGATAGTCCCGCGCAAGGTGCTTATGCGGGTCCCAGGCACAGTCTGCTTACTCCGAGGAAACTGGCGAGATTGGCTTAAAAACTGCCTAGCCAGGCAGAAATAAACATCAGGCCGTCATCTTTCAACGTCGAAGAGCTAACGTAAGGGCTGCACTGGGTTTAGACTAGATACTAGAGATGGTGACCAGTTGACTTTTTGATTCTCTATTCCTGGTTTCTATCTAGCATCAAATGGCCACATCTTGTCCGCCTTTGCTACTGTCATGTCTTCGCCACGAGACTCGGCTTCTTTGGCAGTCTGTATCCATTCATTATACGCTGCGCGATGAGCAACCCGAGCAGCATCCCATGCATCATTCGGGATCCACCCGTCAGAATTTGTATCAAGGTTGTCTCTAAGCCATGACTTGAGTGCCTGAACAGCCTCAAAATCTTCATATCCCCGCGCAGGCCGTTTCAATTCCGCTTCTGTAGGAGAATATGGACATGGGCCCTCTAGCCCCAGTTCCACCCAGCGAGCTGAAAGCTCAATTAACTCTTGGCGGACTGCGACAGCGGAGTCCCTCCAAGTTGTGTGACAGTAGTGGAAGAGTCGAAAAAGAGTCGGATCAAGTAATCTTGCAGGACGAAGCTTAGGAATAAGGGCTGTCATGACCACGTCATATGTTTGATAACAGACGGATGCATCTTTTAATTCTCGTTCCTTTGGTCCGGAAATTTCCGTTTCATTTTGTTCGTTCTCGAGTAAATCTTGCTCGGGGACCCTTGGGAGTGCAGCGAAATCAGGTGTCTCGTTGGCATATATAAACGCCGGCTCAATGCTGGTTGATTGCCAATCTATCAGGCCAGTAATCACAGTTGGTTCTTCGGCAGAGACGTAGATATTCCTCTTGTGAAAATCGGGGTGAAGCAGAGCTGGTGTAGCAGCGTCCTCAATGCGTTTATCTTCAACCATCTTTTGTATCACCTCTCGACTTGTTTTCAGTAGACGGATGTGATCTTGAATTGATCCTTGATATGGCAGAAGCTTGCGATCATTGATGGCTTCTTTGGGCAAACGAGAGAAACCGGTGTCTATCAAACCCCGATAATACCTTGTGAAATCCCTCCAAGATCCGCAATTGGGGCTTGGGCCACGGTAGAGTTCATTTTCTCCCGGGTTTCGATTCCAGAAAACCGGACTACAATTTGGTCCCACACAGAAGCCCTGCTCAAAGGGAATCTTTGAGTCCAAGTCTAGAGGCGCATTTGCGAAGTATAGACTGCCGTAGGCCGGGAAGTCTAGTGAAGCCATCTTTTTCATTGTCAATGAAAGCGCTTTAGTGCACAGCATATGTTGTTCCGGGTTCATTTTGTGCCACTCTTAATGTAGTTGAACACCCGCTACATGCTCCTGGATATTATATTCTGTTCCAGTAGGATTGGAAGGATTATCATTCCAGTCGAGAATTTTCGGTATCGGAAGCGAGATCTTGGATTGTACTATACAGACATGAATTAGTGAGCATGCCCAGCCATACCCTCGAGGACAGTGGATACGGCTTAGCCTTACAATAAGTTATCGTTGCAACTTCAGAGTTGGTCGTTAACCTTGGCGGGCCAGCAATACCGGTAGGTACCTTTGCCACAATACAATGTCCATTGTCCATTGTTAAAAGGAAGACTCTGTTGAATCCACCTTCTCGCTTCTCGTATTTGACAACGCCGGTGGCTCCTGGACATATGTAAACAGCCCGCTCACACAGCGCTGAGAAGTCAAACATAACGTGGCGAGAATTTCGCTCGAGCTCGTCCCGATTGAGCCATCTTCCACCGGTATATGAATGCGGATCATGTCCTAGAATTTAAAGTCAGTAAATTATTAACTCGTTAGTCAATGACAGTGGTATGCTACTAATGACGAGTCAGTTCTTGCGAATCTGTTCCAGGGGATGCGCTGTCGAGCCAGGTATGTGGCGAAGGTGCGACGTTCTTGTTTCCCATGTCGGATAATGTTCGAGATGGGCAACGGAATCGACAACGCTGAACGATTGACGAAGGGACTCCCAACCGCCGCCAGACTCGGAGCATATCAGATTGCTGATCTCCTTTTTCCAGATTGTCAGCTGCAGGGGAGCTCGAGATTGGAGGTCTGAAGCGCCCCCTTGACCCTTGATGCGGTCGATTGTTTTGCTATCTTGGCAGTCACCAATCAAGATCGGGCCCGCCAAGCATCTTGCTTCAGTCCCATGATCAATGCTCACGTGGGCACCATTAACCTAGCCACTAGCCTAGCTGCTAATGTAGTATAGCTACTAACCAAGCCACTATAATAGCATTGCCGCCAACGTCGCTACTTGTATAGATGCTAAATTACAACATAATATTAAACTGTCACGGTGCGAACCGTGCTGCTTAGTTAGAGGAAGATCACGGGACGCGATCTCTGACCTGTTTATCTGAACTTCAGTTCTAGATCCTGTTGTAGCTCTTCGAGCTACGTCTTGTATAATAGCCTGCCCCTGCCTGTGCCTGTCAATGGGAATCTGATCTGTTACGACCTGTTCCTACCAGTCCTCTCCTATCATACCGTCCTGCCAGCCCGCACCCTGACAGATAGTTCGGCTTCTATTCCCTGTTTTGAAGAGGAGGAAGTTAAAAGCTAGGAATTTACTAGTAGAAAGAAAAATACCTTATACTCAATAAAATTATCGTCTATCTCATTGTAGAAAACTTCCGCCTCTATAGGGCTATTTGGTTAAGAAGTAGGCTTAGCGCTAATGAGCTCTCTAAGCTGATAGTTGCGGTATTTCCACTAGGCAGACTGATAATACGCTATTGCAGTAATGATCTAATATTTATGTATCACTTACCGAGTTATTTATTAGTAACAAAGTAATGAACAACTATATTAAAAGTATCCCTTGGAATTCCGCATATATATGGATACGATGTATTTCATACCAAAACGGAATGATCTACTCAAAAATCCTTTACATTCCAAAAATAGAACAGAGGGTCTGTATTTAAAAACTGGGGGGAGGGGGGCCAACGTAAGCATTGACCATAGGACCAACCTGGAAGGCCATGGGGCCCCCTTCATCTGTGATCTGGGCACACATGAATTCTTGGCAGAAGCCTTGGGCATGTAACCCCACTGAGCGATCAGGAGGGCCCCCCGGTGTGTTGTCACTATGTCGATAGCATGGGAACTGTTAATACCCGATGTGATCGTGCCAGGCAGGACCTATCATCAAACCTGTTACGATAGACTTGCTCTACTGATGCAAAGTTATATCAAACCAAAACCGATGATTAATCCGCTTGAGAATAAGCGCTAGAGACCGTATACATGTGCACCACACAAAACTGAGAACGCCGTTACTACTTCCTCCAGTGTAGATTTAGGATTACAGGGAGCGATCATACTGTGACTTGAAGCACTGGTTCAACAGTCGGATAACCCGGGAATGTGGATGTTCATGCTCATTTCCAACTCGGTTTTGGAGTGACCCGACATTTGAAACCGACCAATTATGCTCTCAAGGACGAAATATACAAGGGCCTTGATGACTGCATGCGACTATACAACATAAGGAAAAAATGAATGGTTGTGTACAGATTGCACAAGAGAGTCGACCTCTCATAGCTGCAGTTCACAAGTGTTACGAGGGTCGTAAATGGACCTGTCCCGTGGATCACCAGGACCACTTTCCTACTTAAAACCTCGCCGACCCCCGTTGAAGTTCCCATTTCCAGACTCACGTCACTATGAATTATACCAACACCTGGGCTTCACACCTATCTACAGGGAGCATGACAGCCCAAATACTTCCCTACGCTGTGGGCTTTCTTCTCGCTTGGCCCGTACTAACTACAACCCTACGGTTCCATCGTCTACGCAAGCTCCACAAGCAATTTGCCTACCTAACGCGGGAGTCGATGTCCAAAATGACCATTGAAGAAGCCTTTCAAATTCAAAAACAAATCGCGTGGCTCGAATTCCCATTCACATTCGGCAAGAGCTTCCAATTCGCCTTATTCCGGGTATGAAACAACAACCCGATCACGACTTTGTCAAATCCTATTCATACGTGCATTTCTTAACTATTTAAAAATAGACCTACGGCATTCCCTCAATCTCCACACTCCTCGTAAAAACAAGCCAATTCTCCAGCCCAGAAACCTCCCTCAAGCGGTACACAGATACCCGCGTCCTCATGCAAGAAGTGATCGGTAACAACCCGACTTCCGCACGCGCACACCTCGGTCTTGCACGGACGCACTACCTACATAGCGGATATAGGGCCTCCGGTAAGATCCTCGATGACGATATGCTTTTCACGCTAGCGCTATTTGCACTCCAGCCGATTCGGTTCATCAATCGTTACGAGTGGCGCCAGCTGACTGACCTGGAGCGTTGTGCTATCGCGACTTTCTGGAAGAGTGTGGGTGATGGGCTTGATATTAGCTATGAAAAACTCCCGTCTGGTAAGAACGGGTTCCGGGATGGGCTCCAGTGGCTTGAGGAGATCGATGCTTGGAGTGAAGAGTATGAGGCGAGGTTTATGGTGCCTGATAATAAGAATCGTGAGACGGCGGATCAGACTACTGCTGTGCTGGCTTACACGCTGCCTAAAATATTCCATCCGGCTGCGTTCCAGGTCGTTTCGTTCATGATGGATGACAGGCTTAGGAAGGCGATGTAGTAAGTAGCAACGATAATGGATGGACTTGAACCAACGCGCCAACTAACCCCTTGGTGGACAGTTATGATCCTCCCTCCGCATTCTACTCGGCACTCTTGTCAGCTATACTCACAGCTCGCAAGCTTTTCCTCCGCTATCTAGCTCTACCACGACCGTACTTCTTGCGCGCTACCTTGTTCACCGAGGAGCCGGATCAAAACAACCGCTTCTTCCTCACCCAGTGGGATGCCGCGCCGTACTATGTCAAGCCCACGTTCTGGAACCGCTGGGGACCGATGGCGTGGCTGAGTTGGGCTCTAGGGCGGCCTCTGCCTGGCGATGAGGGAGATAAGTATTATCCTACAGGATATAGTATTGCGGATGTTGGACCAAAGCAATTTGAAAGGAAGGGGAGGAAGCAGATGGATGAGATTCTATTGGAGTTAAAGGAGCATCGGACTGGCAAATGTCCTTTTCACTGATTTAAGACAGGAAGAGGACACAAAGCATCATGTGATGCAACGAGGAAGTTGTCACGAGCTCGGCTTTAGAAGCTCGTGAGTCGAGGGCAATGACCCAAATAAAGCGGTTGTATCACCAATCTTGACATGCAATACTACAACCAACACGACCTGAAAAACCGAGAAATTAATTCGTCGCTTTGTTTTCCACTATGTGCTATTCTGGAGGGGTCGAACAAATCACCCAAGCCGAGCAGAAAAATAGACAAAAAAGGGTGTAAATTAGGAGCGCTCAAACAAATTGGGTTCGGGCCTTGCGCCCACAAAGCCAGTCCGAATGGTAGAGAACGTAGGCTTGACAAGGGTATTACTTTGAACAAATCTCAAATAAGATTTATTTAAACCTCCTCGTCAACAATGTCCTCAGCGAGGCTAAAAATAGTGGAAAACAAATCATTAGTCAACCTGTTCAAAAATCGGGTGGTGAGGGGAATCCTTACTACTCCTCCTCGCCCTCGGAGACGGAGGCCTCCTGGTACTGCTGGTACTCGGAGACAAGGTCGTTCATGTTGCTCTCGGCCTCAGTGAACTCCATCTCGTCCATACCCTCACCAGTGTACCAGTGCAAGAAAGCCTTGCGACGGAACATGGCAGCGAACTGATCGCCGACACGCTTGAAGAGCTCCTGGATGGAGGTGGAGTTACCGACGAAGGTGGAAGACATCTTGAGGCCACGGGGGGGAACAGAGCACAGAGCAGTCTGGACGTTGTTGGGGATCCACTCAACGAAGTAGCTCTGGTTCTTGTTCTGGATGTTGCGCATCTGGTCCTCAACCTCCTTCATGGAGATCTTACCGCGGAACAAAGCAGAGCAAGTAAGGTAGCGGCCGTTACGGAAGTCGGAAGCGGCCATCATGTTCTTGGGGTCGAACATTTGCTGAGTCAACTCGGGGACGCTGACTTGGCGGTAAGAAGAGCCGCCACGGCTAGTCAAGGGGGCGAAGCCGACCATGAAGAAGTGCAGACGAGGGAAGGGAACCATGTTGACGGCGAGCTTGCGGAGATCGGAGTTGAGCTGACCGGGGAAACGGAGGGAGGTGGTCACACCGGACATGACGGCGGAGACGAGGTGGTTCAGGTCACCGTAGGAGGGCTGGGAGAGCTTGAGGGTACGCATGCAGATATCGTAAAGGGCCTAGGATTGTCAGTATTTCTCAAGACAATCCTTTTCTTCGCGCGTTTCATACCTCGTTATCGATACAGTAAGTCTCGTCGGAGTGCTCAACAAGCTGGTGAACAGAGAGGGTGGCGTTGTAAGGCTCAACAACGGTGTCGGAGACCTTGGGGGAGGGGACGACGGAAAAAGTGGCCATCATACGGTCGGGGAACTCCTCACGGATCTTGGAGATCAAGAGTGTACCCATACCGGCACCGGTACCACCACCCAGGGAGTGGGTGATCTGGAAACCCTGGAGGCAGTCGCAGCCCTCTGCCTCACGGCGGACGACATCGAGAACCTGGTCAACAAGTTCGGCACCCTCAGTGTAGTGACCCTTAGCCCAGTTGTTACCAGCACCGGACTGACCGAAGACGAAGTTGTCGGGGCGGAAAAGCTTGCCAAAGGGACCGGAGCGGACAGCGTCCATGGTGCCGGGCTCCAGATCGACTAGAACGGCACGGGGAACGTACTTGTCACCGCTGGCCTAGAGCAATTAAAAACATCCTGTCAGATGATGCACGATTAGTTGGTTCGTGGTCGTTGTACTCACATGGTTGAAGTAGACGTTCATACGCTCGAGCTGAAGGTCGGAGGTACCATTGTACCTAGCAAGATGTCAGATATGTGATCCACTGGAAACCCATCACCGTTAAACTTACTGTCCATCGCCATCGAGGCCGTGCTCGCCAGAGATGGTTTGCCTGCAATCCAGTTAGTAAGTCGTCAATCGACACCGAACACGAAAGAAAAAGCTCGACACTTACCAGAAAGCGGCACCAATTTGGTTACCCTATGACCCAATTCCAATTTAGTCCCACAAATCGAAGGAATGTTTCCAAGAATGTTCCATGTCGAACTTACACACTGGCCGGTTTGGAGGTGAACCTAGTTCATGTTAGCAAAAGATCTGTTGGGAGTGGGGTCATGGCTCAGGGGCCGTTTGAAAACATAAACGACGCGTCTGGGGGGAATAACATACAATCTCACGCATTTTGAAGGTATTAGAAGAGATGAGGGGAAAAAAAGGAGAACCGGTGACGAGTCAGGGAGGATGGGGAAGAAGAGAAAGCAAGATGGCCAGTTGAGCGGTGTGTGTGGGATCACCAAGTCAACAACTGAACTTCAGGGGGGGAGGCCCGATTGGGTATAGCCGCATCACGGGACTCGGGGAGGTGCGAACCACATTTTGCGTTTCTTTGGGGCGCGTAAGATCGTACTGTGGATGTGCTACAAAACTAGTTACAAGTATATGTTGTAAGCACAACTATTAAACTACTACTTAAACCCTGTTTCAATCATTACAATTGGAAAATATTGGACTAATCGTACATGTTGGTATTGGTTCAATTGGGCGCTTTCCACTCACATTGGAAGTACTCGCTTGCCCTTGAGTAGCTCTCCCCGTTTGGGATTCAGTTGGGCGCTTTCCACTCGCATTGGAAGTACTCACTTGCCCTTGAATAGCTTTCTTCGGTTGAAATTCGTTCGTTCGGGTATCGCTTTCCACTCACATTGGTAGTACTCACTTGCCCTTCAGTAGCTCTCGCCGCATGGAACTCATTCAGTTGGTACTCCGTACATAGTTCCCACCGTTCTAGGTGTGAAATTTCGATGGGTTGCTCTCGCCGTTTTCGACCCCTTCACTTGGGGTCTCAGCGTGTGCTATTCGGTTGGACTAGTTCTTGTCAGTTTCCTGGCTCTCGTTGGTCTTGTCATTGGCGGTTTCCTGATTCTTGTCGGTCTTCTGATTTCCGCCGCTTTCCAGCCAATCTCCGTACCGCTCAAGGCGCTCGTTCTCCTCATCATCTGCATCCAGAGGGTTTGAAATTTTGCCTCCTGCGTCTCGTCGGGGGTGGTATTTGTTGAATTTCTCCTCCCCATCCCAGATGTAAGCAAGAACAGTATTGCCTGCAAAGAAGCGCCCACTCATGATCTGAAAGATGGTAAGAAGTTGCCATGCCTTTTTCGAATTGGGATGCTTACCTGAACACAGCGACGTGCATCGGCTGATGCGACAAATCGGACAGTCACGACACCTTCAGCCTCACCGTCCCAAACCACCACTTTAGTCACCTCGCCAATCTTAGAGCACTCGCTGCGGATGTCATCTTGAATCTCAATACTGGCGAGCGGATCCTCCTGTAATTATAGGTCAGCCGCGTGTCCGTATTTTGCCCAAGGCAACCTTGGAAGAGGCAGAGTGCGTCAAACCTCCAGCTCCTTCAGTGTAAACATATGTTTCAAAATCACATGTCGCTTAGCCTCCTCAGCAGCCTTCATCACCTCCAAGGCCTGTTCGGCTTCATCGTCACCCCAGTCGGAAAGTTTCCTATCACAGTCGAGTCAGCATGAAACACTCTACTGCCATTATCAACAAACACACTTATTCAACCGCTCTGCCCGCTCCTTTAGCTTCTTCTTTTCCTTCATAGTCATGGTAACCTTCGGCTGCACATCCTGTTCACGCTTGTACGAAAAGTCGGCCGCCTGAACACGCATCGGTCCAGCTGGATTGCGGGAACCCATTCGGAAGTCCGTCTCGTCGAGGACATCAATCGCGAGGTTGACTGATTCAGGCCGGAAGTACACGATTAAAGCCTCGCCGTTGAAATTGCCATTTTCGTCGGTGTACATTTTAATTCGGGGCTTTCCGGTGTCCAGTTCTTCTGCGAGGATTCCATATTTCGAAAACACGTCTTGAATCTCCGACAGCTCAGCGTCACCGGGGATCTTGGTAACCCAAACAGCAGTGTTAACACGTGGCTTCTTAACCTTAGGCTCGGCGGTCTAAAACGCGAAAGAAGAGAAGACAGTCAGTTACCAATGCTATCAAGCTGCCACAAGTGGCCAGATCACTTACCTCGTCATGAGAGCTCTTGCGCTTCTTACGATCGCGTGGGTGAACGATCTCAGTCTCACCGTCGTCGGAGCCGTACCCTTGCTGCTTGCGGATAAGCGCCTCGTCAATCTAGAGTTCCAAGTCAGTTTAGCAACCGGATATTGTCGGCCTGCATCATAGACAATACAGCGCAAAGCGCCAGGATGCCAATACGTGTGTTACATACCGTTTCAACCCATCTCTTCAGGATACTGTTGAACAAGAACTCGCGACCGTCGCTTGTCTCGAGTAGGAAGCTGTTATCCAGGCGCGAGAACGAGATGCGCGGGTCGCTATCAAACTCCGCCACGTCGGTCGGAAAGTCCATTTTGATGAAAACAACCGTAGGCAAGATGTTTCAGAGATGGAACAGATGAGTGGGAGGATGAGACGGTATGCGCAGAGGTTTGTGGAGACCGTGAACGCTTTGCGATGGTTGGGAACACGGCCCACGGTCGTGATCTCTCGGCGCGGCGTTCCGGAAGGTGCACCTGGGTGGATCCGGCCCCATTCATGTTCCAGGAGAACTACTTCGCACGGAGCACTGATATTTGATATTCCAGCAAGGTAATATTTGCATTGCTACTCAAGGCCAATTCTCAACTTGTCTCTGTTGGCCTGCAAGATTGCTCATGTTGCACTACTACCTATAATGTCACTGATTGCCTACGGTCTATCAACTTGTCTCTCCACCAGAATGGTTTCACAAAACTTGATATTTGGGTATCTGAAGGTATGCTATCAAAGTGAAAATTGGACTTTCCGGAGAGAATCCCAAATGTCTACCGTCCCACATTATACATGTAGATATTCAAGACACTCTGCCATCGCCAAAAAGAAGAGGGGAAGTGAAGAAAAGAGAGGCGTTTTGCCGAAAATTAAAAAGTAAAGAAAGGACAGTTATCAGATCAAATTGGATCTAAGCCTTGGTATCAACGACCTCGCCCACGGGTGTAGCAGTGCGCTTAGAGGCAGTCTCTGAGCTTTCCACGCCATTGACAATATCGCGGGTGACCTCGACGTAATCATACTAGAGAAAAGAAAGGTCAGAAAATTTCTCTTTGGCTGGTTGAGGGATAATCATGCTTACAGCAAACTCGCCAATTTCGGCATCGTCAATACCCATAATCTCATCTTCCTCGGGCGCGCGCAAGCTGAGACCGGGAATGAGGTTCATAACGAAGAGAATGATACAGGTTCCGAAGAAGGCGTATGCCATTCCAGAGACCGAGTCTGCAAGCTGGTATCCCAGCTGGATATAGTGCTTGTTGATCCAGCCTCCATCGATGTTAGTGACACCATCAAGGTGCGCAATGTAATCACTATGAGAGTCAGTTAGATTATAATCGAACAACGTTAGGAAGTAGCTTCACTTACGCAGCGAAAACGCCTGTCAGAAGGTTTCCAACCATACCACCGATACCGTGCACGGCAAAGATATCGAGAGCATCGTCAACACCGATGAGGAACTTGAGCTTAGTAGCATAGTTGCATGCAACAGCGCCAACGACACCAAAGATGAATGCAGCCCAGGGAGTGACAAATCCAGAGCCGGGGGTAATGGCTACAAGACCGGCAATGACACCAGAGCAGAAGCCAACGGTGGACCACTTGCGCTCCAGTCTGTAATCCATCAAACACCAAGTCACACCTCCAACGGAGGCAGCAAGGTTAGTGACAACAGCAGCCATCACTGCACGAAGGTTGGCAGCGAGAGCAGAACCAGCATTGAATCCGAACCAGCCGACCCACAGGAACACGGTGCCAATGACAACGTGGGTTACATTGTGAGGGCGGTAGTTAAGCTCGTGAGTGCCATGGCCGCGACGCTTGCCCAGCATCAAGGAGTATGCGAGGGCGGCAGATCCAGAGGCGATGTGAACAGGGGTACCACCCGCGAAGTCAAGACCTCCGAGCTTGAACACCCAGCCCGACGCGTTCCATGTCCAGCAGGCGATAGGGTCGTAGATAATAGTAGTCCATATGAACATGAAGACAATGCATGGGAGCATGCGACCACGTTCAGCGACCGCGCCGACGGCGAGAGCAACACTAATCGTAGCGAAAATGTTAATTGAAGTTTCTAGAGGATCTCCATCAACATGATGGATGTATAGAAATGGTGACTCACGTAATAGCAGCGAACATTCCCTGGAAGATGGCGAATAGGAGATCGGGAACCTTGTCACTTCCAACAGACGGAGCAGCTAGAACACCCTTGAAGCCAAAGTTATCAAGGTTGCCGATGTAGCTGCCGGCTGTGTGCGAGAAGGCCAGTGAATAACCCCAAAAGAACCACTGGAATGACACCACGCCGACCGACATGATCGAGAGCCATATCAATGAGAGTGCTGACTTTCGACGAGCCAGACCGGAGTAGAAGAATCTATAATAAATTTATGAGTGATAGCCCTCTTGACGAAAGGGTTCGGACAAGTCATACCCAACCCCAGGAATCATAAGCAGCACTAGGGCTGTCGACATGATCACCCATGAGATATCACCAGACTATCAACATTGTTAGCTACCAAGTTCCAATTGACTGCTATCAAAATACACTACGTACACTGTAGAAAATGTTCAAGTCATCATGGAGCGAGTCACCACCAGTTGCGATGGTGCCATTGTAGGTGACCGTGGAGTCGGCCATGGTGAGACCTAGGCTAGGCCAACAGTCTTGCAAGTGTGATATTAGGTTAGAAAGGCAACAACGAAATGATACAGGAGATATCCCAGAGCCTTGTGATAGATGTAGAGAAGGAAGCAGAAAGTACTTTCAAGCACCGGGCTGTGAAAGGAGGAAGAAATGATATGTCTAGTCGGCAAGGACAAACCCTTGTAATTTAAATAACTGCTACAGACTCGGACAACCAACAATGCTCCACCCTTAGACGCTAGAAGGCCACCAGACCATCGATCTTACTTCCGATAGTGGGAGCTGGTCATTCTGATTTCTGATATGATTCCTCTGATCTGACCGATAGCAGTTAGCCAAGCCCGCCCCCATTCAGTTCATGCCGTGACAAGGTATATCCTCCATGGACCCAGACCGGGGAATTACGGGTCCTTGCGTTTTCATACTTTAGCCGTATTCGAATATTTTGGGGGGATCTACTTTTGGGATCATGCTTGAACTGCAGTGTAACTACTCCGTACCTGTTGTCTCCTTCTCCGTTCAACGTGCATTTTGTCTTGAGAGTGATATAACAACTTTGCCCTATGCATTAACGCCTGATAAGCAGGGGGAATGCAAGTTACAACTTACATTACGGAGTATAATAAAGTGATAAACAGATTGGATCATTTAGTGACAGAAAAGAATAATAGGAAATAGTAGGAATCGAAATTGGACGGCTCAACGACTGGCTGTAGATATGAAGTTCCAACCAGCCAATCACAAGCATTTGCTTATCATTTTCTCAGGCGAGCTGTTTTCTGTCGCTCAAGTCCGCTGTTTAATGCGTCCGTCCGGTTCATGCAATGTTGATCCATGAAAACTGTTCCGAGATGCCATACCGTTGTTTCAATCAGAATTGTATGGGGTCGTTTGCGACGTGAAGTAGTTAACCACCAGGGCGTTTGGTCTCTTATCGACCCGGCTCAATGTCGTGTTGCGTCAACCAATCACGATTTATCTTTCTTATCTCACATTTTTTTCATCGTATTGTCCGTTCTCCGTACGCCGTATAATACTTGACAATGCGAGGGGTGATTTCAATGTTCTGGAGCTCTTTTCTATTATTCAAGGATGGCCTCTAATAACACAACGTGAAACTGGTTGGAGATAGAAAGGATCGCTAGAATTCAATAGTGTGCTTCCTTACGCATCTTCCCGAAAATCTGCCTACACATAACTGTTCAACATTCATACTTCTACCCCTGGCATTTTATTCCCCGCATCATCTCCTTCTTTCTGGCTTCCCATTCTACAGGTCTGTCACACTTGATTCCACTATGCAAAACGCATAGGGTGGGAAATTAAACACTTTGCCACGCGGCATGCGGAGCACAAAGTAGGGGGTCTACAAAGTTCTCCGTACGCCAAGTCAAGATAAGCACCCAGTCTTCCATTGGCGGGATTTTTTAGAGGCTGATTCGGCATCCCGACTTGGACATTGGCGAACTCTCGGCTCCATAACTCAAGAACTCTAATTAATACCAGGGCGCCGGAGATCTGTGAATCACATGTGCTCATAGCTCATGCACCATTGTTTTTCTTGCTTTGGTCCTCTTTAATAATAAAATAGAGGACTGATTATTCTATAAATTTAGGTACGGAACGGATCCGGGGCATGATTATGTCAGATTGGGCTTGCTGTAACTGACTAACTTTTCTTTGCTCCGCACATCGACGTATCCCGTAGTACGATTCAGGAAAGAGGATATGAAGCGTCTGCGTTGCTTCTTGAATTAGGAGTCTGTGTAGATTGTCATAGAGCCCTGGCGAAGTCTCAATAATCTTCAATTCTTCTTGAATCCACTGATCCACTGATCGACGGTGTTGGATCTACAATGTACCCCATACCTGCATCGGTCTATGTACTCCAGACTCCATACTTTGTACCTAGATGCAATTTCACGCTAATCAGAGGTAAGATCTTAAAGAGGTGTACTAGATCTTCAATCGTAGGAACCATTGACATGTCCAGTCAAATCACATGCTCATTCTCTGGTTTCATAGATTGATCTAGCAACACACATGGTCTCACCTTGAAATGACAACATCTTGTTTCAATAGCCACATACATGCGTAAAGCACATGCTCTTCTTTCCTCTTCCAGTATCATTTCTGTAACATCCAAATTTATCTGCCCTACTATAATTGTTAAAATGTGCTTACATGTTAAACTCTGACCGCGGTAGTCCCACAACTACTGCTCAATGGTAGCAATAGATAAAGCAATACTAGGTCGTTACCAGAAGAACGCTGGCGTTCTTTTATTCTTAAATGGTATATTCGTTTATAACTCTCATTAGTCAATCTAAATAATTACTCTTGGTTTCAACATTCCAATATTCCACCTTACTACCTATTATTACAGAATAATTTCGAAAGCATACATACTTTCCTCATATGAATTCCCCTTTAACTTTGTTCTTACAAAGTCTCACAATTTTAAACTTGTCTTTTCTACCAAGGGCTATAGTCATACTACACTCCGCTCACCTTTTTGTCTGTTTTGTCGAGTGATTTGAGCGCACCTTCACATGTCAGAAGAGCCTACGCAGTGTGAAAGAACCCCTTAGAATGCACATTGTCGAGAGAAGAGACAAAGTGTCTACTAAGCAAGTGCTAGCAATTATTTACACATTACAACAAACCCAAAA